GATATGACACAACAATACTCACATAGCGAGAAAAACGTAGAGATTTAGAGAAAGATGACGACAACAATACTACAACAATTGAACTACACACACACAATGTACGACTTTTACTGAGTTACGTAATAAAATTTGTTATAACTATTGCCTTTAAAATAATTAACTTTAAACACTCTTACTATGAAAACCAAATATTCATTAAATATTAAATCTCTAAATAAACTAAATAATAACTATTAAGCTAAACACCCATCTTACGTCTCAATACATTTTTATTTGGTTACCAGAATTTCCCCTCTTAATGGTTCAGCGGTAATTCTGGGAGCTCATAACTCTAAAAATCGGGTATTGATACCCATGGTGGGAAAAGCACTGATATCCCAATTTGTAGCTTTTTACTTAAAAACAAACAATTCAACAGAAACGTAACTTTATTTTTCCTGATACTTTTGATTATACGTTTACCAAATAACACTTTTAGAGGTGTTTAATACAAGCCTTTCTACACGTTTAAATATGAATTTAAAATTTGAATTGTAACATCTAACTTTCACAAACCTGCCTTGTTCTTTAAATTTGTATGTTACTGTGTTATTATGATTTTCACAACTATGTATCAACATATAACCATAGTATTTATATATTTTCACGCAGTATCAGCTGGGTGTTACTTTCCCGTTGAAGTTCAAGGAACTTATCTCATTCAAACCCAAGCTTCTGCAGCTTATGGTGGAAGTACTGTTACGTATTCCGAGATAACAATCGAAGTTGACGCCATTCCTCCTTGGGGTCGCTGCCATCGAAAAAGAGGAAACAACGTCATTGTGAAAGACAGGTGCCACAATTTTATTTATTTTAGTACAATTAAATTATAACAAATGAAACTGCACCTTAGGATTTCAACTTGCATCGTGATACGTAATCTTTTTCTTTTAAAATAATTGACAAAAACTGCATAACTATAATTATGTGAGTATTTCATTTTTTTCTTATTTTTCAATGAAATTTCATTAAATTGCGATATACTACTATACCTTGGAATCTTCATACGAAAAACTGATCCGAATAGTTTTAAACATTGTATAATCCTAACTGTATGTTATAGATTTACTGTTATTAATTTATTGTGGCAGTTGAGACATTTCAAAACATAATGACTTACATTTCCATAGCACTGGTGCCGAAGACTGTCTGAGGTGCTTTCGTCTTACACAGAAGACACTGAATGTGATCCAGATTCACACAGAAGGTTAGTATTTTTCAAAGAAGATGAGCCACAACTTCACTGACCAAAGAAAAAGATTACTTAAAGCAGCATTAATAAACATTAATTGCGATACCTTAAATGAACATACATAAAAGAAGACAGGATTCTGTATGTACACAAGAGTAGTTACAGATATAGGATAAAACATGGGTCTCTAGGTTTAGAGATACTAACGGTTAATATCATATCTTTAGAACTATGTTCCGAGTTCCCCACTATCCTGGGAACTATTTGCTCCACTGACAATCTGATGCTCGTGATCATATAATATTGTCAGACGTCACGATTTTATTGTAACAAGCTTCTACAAAAGGAAGCTATATATCTTGACAGTATTTCCACAGACTCTCACTGCGCCTATAACTGTTGGCTTCTAAGACTATATCTGAGCAAACAAAATGTGTAAAAGTCCCTTGGACCCTTTCTGGGAAACTTGACAAGTATGTGGTCAAATGGAACTGGTGTGATTCCAGTTTGTACAGTCATCTTTCTTATGGAAACAGCCATTGATTTTAAGGTGTGGTTTTTAACCCTTCGTCAGCTTCAAATTCAAATTTGTTTATCTTCCTAATAGCATCAAGCTACGTACATCTTCATAGCAATGATCCTTGTTAATAGCAATACACTTTGTTATCTGGGTTGGCTTGGAATATGGTTTCGAAGCTTCTTGTTGTTGTTGTTCTAAGTGAACTGATGGGCGTATGTTTTCACTTTCATGGAAATCTTTCTTCTTCAAAATATTGTCTTTTGCTTAACAATGTAGATTTACAGCATCTGTCGTGTGGATCAACAAATCCTCTCTTATACATGTGGATATTCGAGGAAGGATATTCATAAAGCAAATCCACATATATAAAACAGGAATCTGTAGATCCATCCGTAAAAAGACAATATTCTGTCAGTCCACATATATAAGACGGGAATATGTAGAAGCGTACGTTTAAACTTATACATCCACAATGTTACATGTAAGTTACAGACCTATTCACGCTAAGTTACAAGTGAACTTTCTAGGTCTCCAGAGAAGGCGAGACCACCATATTTTTACATAAAACTATATGTGAAACATAATTGTCTAACGTCTGCAAAGCCTGAATATAACATGTATAGATAATTTACAAATAATTAGGTCCCATCGAAAACTAAGAAAAATAGCTTTTTGAAAAATATGAATTTCTCGCTTGACTAAACCACAAATAGAAAAGAACCTCACATAGCAGTGGCCATTCTGATATTAAGTTGTTAATAAAATGTTTGGTTTCCACTTTCGTTAGAGTATTGGGAGAGCAAAGAGACAAAGAAATATATTTACCCTAACAACGACATTATAATAGTTTAGATTTTGTTTTAAAAAGTATTATGCTCTAAACTGATTAAATTTTTCTATTAAATTCTGATGTATTGTTTATATTCAATGTCTTGTTTTGTAAGTGCGAAAGCATTACGTTTCCTTAAACAGGTCTTGGGCGATGCTACACCAATGAAGAGGCAGCTCGTGCCACGTGCCCAGACGACAAAGCAGTATTTGAACGAAAATTCAAAGAGATAATTTTGTACAGTAAGTATGTTTAATATCTACCATTAAAGAACTACCTATGCATTCTTGCATAAATCAATTTTGTGAGTGTAACTCCAAGCTCGCACGAAATATCTGCCTTTGCCTGTAAATGCAGATATATTTGTCAGTATAGTTCATAAGTATGATATGTAAGTGAACAGCGCTTGCCTCTAAAGGAAAATTATACAGTTTTACTAAGGTATAATAACATAAGAATATTTGAAATGCTTCTGTAATGAAAGACGTGAAGTCATTAGGAAAGCATTAATTGCAGTGGAATTTTGAGATTTTTGGTGTAGCTAACACATTTTCTAATCACAAACAACAGAAACCTCTAGAAGTCCGTTTTTACGAGAAGCACAGAGTTCTGATAACAAACAACAGATTCTGAGGGTTGTTTTTAATCATTTTTTTACATAAAACTGCATGCAAAGTTAAACCCAAATCCGCATTATACAGACTGGACCATAGCATATCTAACAGTAAAGAAAAACGAAACTACGAATGACACAATAAGTTTTTCTTCGCCACCAAGCTGTATTTGCATTGTTACCGGTTCGATCCAACATTACAAATGGTGAACGTTTCCACCATCCCAACCAATGTATACGTGATATCATTCAACATGTAAATGTTAAACTCGAATATGATACGTATGATAAACAAAGACAAAATATAACGTAGCACATAATACTTCGTACAAATTCCTTGTTTGTATTGATTGGAAAGATACTGATTTATGTATCTTAACATTGTTTAAAATATTATGTTAATGTGCACTGGAAAGTACGGTCTAATGTATAAAGTTTTAATGATGCACAAATTGTATCAGTTAAGTGTCTTTCGTTTTAACATTTTCAGTTTGTAGACGTAGTTCAGATATTTCAATGTTGTGATGAACAGTAACTTGTGAATCGGGTGGGCTTGTCTTTATCACCCCCAAGTTGGCAAAATGTCGGCTTTTCACACCTCTAAGGGTGTAAATTAAAATTGCAAAAATATGCAAGAAATGCATATTAGGAGTACGAATGTTCACCTTCTTCATTATATTTTCTGTATTAGTACTTTCCACATCTAAAGATACAGAATTCATATTTGTTTCTTTCTTTCTCTCTCTCTCTTTTTTGAAAACTAACAAAAGTGAGCATACACACAAAAAAATGAAGAACATTCAGTTAATAGAACCCTTATTTTCTAGTTATACTTGTAGTCATTTCATTATTTCTTTCTTGTGGAATTTCCCCTGTTTCTCAGGGTGCTAATTATACTTGGCTCTCATAATGGCAAATGAAGATGACGTATTGATATGTACACTCGTAATACACTTTTTCAGTGATTGTATTATCCGGAGAGAATTTTACATGGGCTTTGTGAATCTCCATCTTATATATGGCTTAAATTTACAATCTTCTCACTTTACACATTTCCCAAGCATAAAATGTTTTTTTTTTTACTTGGTTAACTGTCTACTACCCATATGAAACGTCGAGCTGAATATACCAGCTGAAGAACGTGCCACCGTGTCTGGACTGCGATAAAGGTTTAATATCTTACTGCTTACTCATGACTCAGCGTCACCAGTAGGCACGTGCGCAGCTTATTTGTTTTCTCCTTTGCACGTGGGGTTAAGAATCACGGTTTTTGTTCGTAACCAAAACGTAGCACCCAGTAGAAACATCTTCAGGAAAGAACTAATACTTTTGTCGTACTCTTAATCAAAAACGTGCAAAAAGTGACAGAGAGAATATTTTTATTGGTATGGATAGTTAGATTTGTATAACTGAAAAATGCGTAATAACGCTAACTTGCATATAATTGACTATATTATTACCTATGAAGGTAGTAACTATATTTCTTAGTTTAAAAATTTCGCACAAAACTTCACAAGACAATCTGCACACAGATTCCATTACTTTTGAGCTGATAGGCTAAAGGGAAGAAAGATAACGAACAGCACCACTGCTTTATCTTGAGCTAGTCTAGTCAGATCGAACTGTGGAATTTGATCATCTTTCTAATAGTACGAAGTGAGTTTTTATAGTAACGGGTCGCGAACAGTGAATACTCGGAATCACAATCCGGGTATACTAACCACGCTCAACACAAGTGTAATTAAAAAAAGAATACAAAATATAATCCTTCATTATCAGTTTAATATTAAAGAATAAATTATGAAATATTTTCTACTTCGTTTTTTCTTAAACTATATATTTTTATCGAACTTTTAAGGCCCCCCAGTGGCACAGCGGTATGTCTGCGGACTTACAACGCTAGAAACCGGGTTTCGATACCCGTGTGGGCAGAGCACAGATAACCCTTGTGTAGCTTTGTGCATAATTAAAAACAAACAAACGAACTTTTAAGAATAGTTCCAAATTCGATGTAATTTTCCAACAACCTCTTTAGACAGTGTAACTCTGTAAAGATGTCGAAGAAAATATCGCAAATATTCAAGATGTAAATAAGGAAAAAAATTAGTAGTTTTGAGAAACGTAGTCCCAATTTTCGGTGATAGAGTATGGATTGATATAGGTATGTACTTATAGTCTGCAACTGTTCCCAAATTAATTCTGATAAATTGCTCCAGGTATAAGCTATTACATTTTTCGATACATCGCTTTAATCTGCTGAATATAACACATTTTAATAAATTACCTGAATAAGTACATCCAAGCTTATCAAAACTGGAACCTTTTGAAAGCAATGATCAATAGTGCTGGTGATAAAAACAACAACACAAAACTGATCAATCTTACAGGGGAAAGCAACGGTTCATTTTATACTTAATTAAGCGCGAAACTGCATAATAAGCTATATGCTCTATATCCAATGTAGAGATGGAACTGAGCCACTGGGTAAGGACGTACGAGGAAAATAACCTTTCATGGAGGTAATTAAACGAGAAACTAAATTATAAGAAATAACCGTAATATTTTTTTCGATGCAACTCAGTGTTAAGTTTCTTATAAATTAGATATATATATATACTTTTTGTATGGTGTTATTGCAAAGATGCATTCTAGGGTCCCAGAAGTGTAACGGGTGTTCTTTATGGATGATGAATGTTACAACTTATGGGTCAATTTACAATACTATTCGACTCAATCGATTAAACAAGAATAGAGTTTGCGTTTGACTCAAACTTTTATGGGTACTGTAGTTATGTTTAATACAGTTTTAACAAATGTTACATCAAAAGGAAAAATAAAATCCCCTTAATCTCTAATATAAAATGGCTGGTAAGTTGGGGCGTTGCTGTTACTGTTCAAACAGAGGGTGTGTGACGTCAGAAATATTTAACTGTTCCATATGATTAGTATAAAAAATATTCTAGGCATACGACGTTTTTTTGGTAAATTACTTGCTTTATTAGAACGTGACTTTCTTTTTGTTAATATCTCCAGTTGCGTGCTGAAGATACTTCCATCAGGTGAAGATGTCGCTCTATTCAGTGAGGCTCTCAGTAATTTTCACAAATTTGTCCGAATTCCTCCAGGGCGTATGCTAATTTAAGACATCGTGAGTAAACCATAGCAAGAGAACAAAGCGTTAGACGTTACTGACGTGTAAATAAAAATAGAAAGTGGGAGGCACAAAATATTTTATGTCGCGTTTTTAGAATGAAGAACAGACTTCCGAAAAAGAAAATCCACACTTATGACTGGCGCTCCATAATTGTGTCATTATTCTAAGAGTAATTGTAGCCAAAAATAACAGAATTACTTGGGTTATGTGGATCACGAACTTTTTAATAGTCTTAATCTTTTCTTTATGTGTAATAAGCGAAATGAACTTTATTATCTATTTATTTTTGTATAATTCTTTTCAAATCATTTTCGTTTCACCTGAAAATACTGAGGATATTATCTCATTCTCTGAACTCTTGTTTGTGGAACTGAATATATAATGTATGAGATTATATTTTCTAATCTTTTTACATCTAATTTCGTTATATAATGATGAATTTATCCACCCGTTCTATACATTCGGAAATATAATTGGAAATTATTTTTATTCTATAGCTAATGCACTGCCATCTATTGTTCGCTCTTTATTTTTTATTTGATTTGTTGGTTTTAATAATTAGAAAAAAAAAATGCCAGTCCGTTGTTTAGCGGTTAGGTTGAGGGCTTATAACATTAGCAATCCGGTTTCGCTACTCGCGACGGGCAAAGCATAGATAGCCTATTGTGTAGCTTTGTACTTAACAACAAAAGAAACAAACATATTCAATAAAATATAAGTCAAAGTAAAATATATATAGATGTGTTAATATTATTTTTGATTTTCTCTTTGTCATGATTAGTTATTTGTATCGTTTTAACAGGAAATACTAACGAAAATCTTAAAAGTATTTAAAATTCTCCTTTATAAGGGGGGAACGGGCGTGACTTAAGTGGATGGCGTGCCGGACTATGAATCCAAGGGTCCACGGTTCTCATCACCCTGTCTCAAAATTGGGCTCTGTGCCGTGGATGTGCTATAAGAGTTACAGTCAACTTCCGCTATTCGATTAGAGCAACCAAATTGTAGGCGATGGGTACTGTTGATTAATTGCCTTCCATCTGTTCTGTCAGTTCAAAATTAGAGACGGCTAATATAGAGAGCCATCATATATCTTAGCGCAAGTACCATAAACAAACAAACAATTAAAACCTTACTAAGAAAAAACATGAAATGCTTTGTTATGAAACCCTACAGAAAGAAACATCAAGTTGATAATAAACCAAACTCATTGTTATTTATTACATCACTTGTTTTCGTATTTAAGCACATTTTTTTATATTTTTAGAAAAACAAGGTCCTGATATGGTATCGACGATTGAGAACATTTTCTGCCCTATCAATGGAAGATATCGTTTCACCTATACAGCTAACAACAACGAGTTCCAGTGTAAGCAGTCTTTTTCGGAACTTAGTAACTGTCCCCATGGTAACGGTTTAGATGTTCGTTTCCGGCAGTGCAACTTTCCAGATCTTGGTGAGTATAAAACAACGGTAAACGTTTAGCTCTAGCTACCTATTAAATTAATATATTTTAACTTTGTAAGTGTTATGAAGTTGCAGTTTACAAATGGTAAGAATTCTCAGTATATCTTATCATCAACACCAGTGGTTGATATCCTAGTCTTGGTTTACTGAAGGCCAATATCGACAGCTGTTTAGTTCAACACCAGATGTTGATATCCTAGTCTTGGTTTACTGAAGGCCAATATCGACAGCTGTTTAGTTCAACACCAGATGTTGATATCTTAGTCTTGGTTTGTTGAAACCCATATCAACAGCTGTTTAGTTCAACACCATAGGTTGATATCCTAGTCTTAGTTTGTTGAAGGCTCATATCGACAGCTGTTTAGTTCAACACCAGATGTTGATATCCTTGTCTTGGTTTGTTGAAACCCATATCAACAGCTGTTTAGTTCAACACCATAGGTTGATATCCTAGTCTTGGTTTGTTGAAGGCTCATATCAACAGCTGTTTAGTTCAACACCACATGTTGATATCCTAGTCTTGGTTTGTTGAAGGCTCATATTGATAACTGTTTACTTCAACACTAGTGGTTGATATCCTAGTTTTGTTTTGCTGAAGGCTCATATCGACAGCTGTTTAGTTCAACACCAGTGGTTGATATCCTTGTCTTGGTTTGTTGAAGGCTCATATCAGCAGCTGTTGAGTTCAACACCAGATGTTGATGTCCTAGTCTGTTTGGGCTAATTTACCTGACAGAAGTTTTCTTAAGTTAGTGAGATTCTGGTTTATAGTAACTTGTGTTATATTGCTTAATATTGGAGCCAGTAATGTGGCTGGAAATTGTTAAGTTATTTAGAGCATGGTAAATGCCACCGTTGCTTGTACACGTAAATAAAGAAATCACATTAGTCAGCCGTTGTCATGGTTAACAGCCTATACGATCATCTATATGCCTAAGTTATTGATTAGTTATTTTTATTACTAGATGCTAATTAGTAATAGGTTTATGTCTTACGTTTCGGCTACTACTCCGTCCTCAGGGAAGTCTTGAGAAGGCCTGTTTGTGGTGGTAGAATGCGAGGTTCGATACCGGGTTTTCTTGTTTGAATAGTTAGTATGCTGCCCTTTGGATTGGGGGATATTCTTTATAAATTGAATAGAAATGAGTGTCTAGTGTTAAAAAAAGTATTTTTAAATAATAGATCAGACTTAGATTATCGTATGTGTTATTAACCATGACAACGATTGAAATATGATTACCATAACGTTACAGTAAGCATTTTGAGTAGCTTTTTTTGCAACGACTAATAAGTATCGGAGTGTGCGTGTTATTTCGAGTTTGTATTTCAACATTATAATCTGTATTTTCAAGTAATTTCCAAATTTTTATAGCTAAATGTAATATAAGGAAAACGCTTTCACAATCTTTATAAACGCTTCTAAGTTGAGATTATACCAGGTTTTTTAATATAAAGTATAATTTGTATTTTCACAAAAGCTTTCACTTTATTAACATCAGTAAGTATAAATTAATAATGATAAGAGCCATCCTCTGGCCTGTCTGTAACTAATACATGTATACACGACAAATATGACTTTGAATTGATAAGCGCCACCCTGTGGCTTGTCTGTAACTAATACATGTATATACAAGTATGAATTTGAATTGATAAGCGCCACCCTATGGCTTGTCTGTAACTAATACATGTATATGCAAGTATGAATTTGAATTGATAAGCGCCACCCTATGACTTGTCTGTAACTAATACATGTATATACAAATATGAATTTGAATTGATAAGCGCCACCCTGTGGCTTGTCTGTAACTAATACATGTATATACAAGTATGAATTGAATTAGATAAGACGCCACCTATGGCTTGTCTGTAACTAATACATGTATATGCAAGTATGAATTAGAA